GTGTATATAAACATTTTCTTGATCCATTCATCTACTGAGGGGCACCTGGGTTGGTTCCATATCTTTACTATGGTAAATAGTGCTGCAATAAACATGGTTGTGTTGGTAGCTTTAGGATATCCTTATTTGTGGTAATTAAGGTAAATGCCTAAAAGTGGGATTGCTGAGTCATAAGGGAGCTCAATGTTTAGTTTTTTTGATGAACCTCCACACTGCTTTCCAGAGTGGTTGAGCAAGTTTACACTCTCACCAAGAGAGTAGTAGCATTCCCTTTTGGCCACATCCCCTCCAGCATCTGTTATTACCAGATTTCTTGATAATGGCCATTCTAAGTGGTGGGGTGAGGTGGAATCTCAATGCTGTTTTGATTTGCATTTCTTTTATGGTCAGAGATGTTGAGCATTTCTTCATGTGTCTGTTGGCTATTCTTATTTCCTCTTCAGAGAAATCTCTCTTTAAGTCTTTAGCCCACTTATTAATGTAGTGGTTCTTTCTTTGAAGATTTTTTGTTGGGTGATTTAATTTTTTGAGTTCTAAGAATAATTAGATATGAGGCCAAGACATGGAAACAAGAAGTTTTTCTTTGTTTTTAATGTACTATGTGATCTCTTTTTTCTTTTATGGTTTTTTTCCCCTATGGTTTATCCCCTGTATTTGATTTTGGAGCCCTTGGTATTATATATACGTTTATCTGAATTAGGGAAGAGAAGGGAACAACAAAATGGTAAGAAAAAGGACAAAGGGCAAACCAAGGCAACAGTGATACTCACAAGATGATATCTCACAAGACAATATGTTGGAAATGAACAGTATAATTTGGTAGGGGGGATTGGGGAGAAGGGAAAGTGGGAGAAAAATGAGAGAAGGGGTAACAAGTTCAAGAAATGTACTCATTTCCTTATGTATGTAACCATAACCCCTCTGTATATCACCTTGACAACAAAATTAAAAAAAAAAAAGGCTGATCTACAATCAGGATGTGAAAGTGTTGACTGAATTTAATCCCTGTTGCAAGATACCTAATGTGAAAACATAACTATAAAAATTTAAGTACATTATCCTAGTAGGATTAGAATCTGACTAAGGACAAGGCAGTCGCTTGGGGCTCTATTGTATAAATGAATCTAAACTAATGGTGAGCCAGGCACTAATGGGCCACACCTGTAATCCTAGCTACTCTGGAGGCTGAGATTTGAGGATTGAGGTTTGAAGCCAGCCCCAGCAGGAAAGACTATGAGAATCATCTCCAATTAACTACCAAACATCCAGAAGAGTGATGTAGCTTAAGTGGTAGAGTACCAATCTTGAGAGAAAAAAACTAAGGGACAGTATCCAGGCCCTGAGTTCAAGCTCCAGTCTCACCACTAAACAAGCAAACAAACAAAATAATGTAGAAAAACATAATTGGAAATACAATCAGATCAAGAAAAGTGTTTGTGCGAAAACTCCTCTTAGGGAAGGATTAAGGGTAGAAATATTGGGGGGAGTGGAATTGAAAAGAGGTGTGAGGTAGGGATGGGAATGATAGAGTCCCCCCCACACACACACACAAACACTGCACTCTCACTTTAAAAAGCACTCCCAGTTAAGCACAAATGGCTCACCCCTGTCATCCTAGCTACTCAGAAGGCTGAGATTAAGGATCTAGATTTGAAGCCATCCTGAGTAGGAAAGTACATGAGACTCTTATCCCCAATTAACCATCAAAAAGCTGGAAGGAGAGCTGTCAAGTGATGAGCTATCCTTGAGCAAAAAAGCTCAGGGACAGTGCCCAGGTCCTGAGTTCAAGCCCCAGGACCCACACCAAAAAAAAAAAAAACACAAAAACTCTGAACTCTGGGCCTAGGCACTGTCCCTCAGCTCTTCAGCTCAAGCTAGCGCTCTACCACTTGAGCCACAGCACCACTTCTGGCTTCGTCTGCTTATGTGGTCCTGAGGAATAGAACCCAGGGTCTCATGCATGCAAGGCAAACACTCTACCACTGAGCCACCTTCCCAGCCCCCACCTCCATATTTTCTAAAGTGGTTTCCAATAAGAATTACCTGTGAGATTAAAGGCTCAAGTGGCAGAGCTCTACCCTTGAGATGCCCAGGGACAGTGCCCAGGTCCTGAGTTCAAGCCCCAGGAACATCACAAAAGAAAAAGGGAAGCACTTCCATATTTTCTAAGGTGTTGGCTAAGGAAAGTTCCAATAAGAATTACCTGCAGGATTACTGGTTTGCTGGGTGGGCCGCTAACAGCCCAGGCTACTTTCTGTCTTCCCTTCATTTCCCCAATGAACAGCATCCTTTCCCCATTAATGACTGAGGTGGTCAAAGAACTGTGGTGCAAAGAAACGCCACACCAGAGTTTCTCAGGATCAGGGCTTAATCCCGCCCAGAATGTAATCCCTGTGTCCACCATACTCCCCCCTTCTTTAACACTTGAGATCTTGTTCCGCTATCTGCCCTTGTTCTTTTCCAACCTACATTCAGGTCAGTATAGATCTCCAACCCCTTTGAAGCAAACAAAATATTGAAGTAATTCATTTTAGGAGGTTATCTGGAAGATTTTACCCTAACAAGGACTGCAAATCATTAAACATTATTGTGTAGGAGGGTGCCTGGGCCCCAGTGGTTCATACCTGAAATTCTAGCTACTTGAGAGGCTAAAATAGGATGGTGGTTTGGGCAAAAAGTTCATGAGGTCCCATCTCAACCAATAGCTGGGCGTGGTAGACATCTGTCATCAAAACTACACAGGAGCCAGGTGCTGGTGGCTCATGCCTGTAATCCTAGCTATTCATAGGGCTGAGATCTGAGGATCATGTTCAAAGCCAGCCTGAGCAAGAAAGTCTGTGAGGCTCTTATCTCCCATTAACCACCAGAAAACCAGAAGTGGAGCTGTGGGTCAAAGTGGTAGTGTGCTAGTCTTGAGCTGAAAGAGCTCAAGGAGTGATACCCAGGCCCTGAGTGAAAACCCCACTAAAGGAACAAATAAACAAAACTCGACAAGAGAATGGGAGGACTCCAGTTCAAGGCTAGCTTGAGCAAAAACGTTCAATGTGAGCCAGATGTCAGGAGATAATGTTGGGCATAGTGGTGCACCCCTGTCATCCTAGCTATAGCAGGAAGAATACATATAGGAGGATTATGTTCCATGCCAGCAAAAATGAGGCCCTATCTCAAAAATAATCAGCACATGGGGCTTGGAAGGTGGCTCAGTGGTAGAGCGCTTGCCTTGCATGCCTGAAGCCCTGGGTTCGATTCCTCAGCACCACATAAGCAAAAAGAAAAAAGCCAGAATTGGTGCTCTGGCTCAAGTGATAGAACGCTAGCCTTGAGCTGAAGAGCTGAGGGACAGTGCCCAGCGCCCAGAGTTCAGGCCCAGAACCGGACCCAAAAATAGTAATAATCAGCACAAAAAAGGTTGGGTGAGGGTGTGGTTTAAACAATGGAGTACCTGCCTAGCAAGTATGAAACTCTGAATCCAGACTCCCAAAACTCAAAAAGTTTGCACATATAAATAAAAGGAGGATATTTTTGTTGTGGTGGTTTTTTGGGGGGGAGGGGAGGAGGGTAAGTAAAATGTGTTTGGAGATCTTCCTGTTGCTAAAAGAGATGTCTAGCAACATCTGAGACTTGGCGTCTCAGCTATAACTTTCTTATACAGGAAGGAAGGAAGGAAGGAAAGAAGGAAGGAAGGAAGGAAGGGAGGGAGGGAGGGAGGGAAAGAGTGAGAGGGAGGGAGAGAGAAAGGAGGAGGGAGGGAGAGAAAGAAAAAGAAAGGAAGGAAGGAGACAGAGAGAAAGAGTGAGAGGAAAAGAAAGAAGGAAAGAGGGAAAGAGAAGAAGGGAACAGAGAGAGAAAAGAAGAAGAAGAGGAGGAGGAGGAGGAGGGAGGAGAAGGAGGAGGGAGG